TTCGTGCACATTTCGTAGCTTGTTTCATGAGGCAGATCAAATAGTTCTTTGAGCACAACGAATAAGGATTTGCGAAGGTCTAAAGGAACCTTATCAAACACAGCCTCAAAGCAACCATACTCGTTAAGTGCTTTGACGACTTGGTATTTCACTTCCTCCCACTTAGAGTTTTTGCAATCCAAGTCAAGATTGTTAAAGTCAATGACTGGAAGCTTAAGAGTGGTTCTGAACCCATTATCTATAGTGAGGTTCTAGTTTAAGCTAGGTTTGAAGATGTGCGTTCTGATGAGTCCTGACCATGCTATTTAAATAGTAAATAAGCTTTGTGTTGAAGGGATAATTAAATGGAGACACAGTATTATTCTGGAAATCAATTTTTCTTTTGATATAAAAATTATGTTTGGTGGGTTACGTTGGGTGAGAAAAAATATTTTTCTTATCTAGCTAGTACGGTGCATGCTAATATATTTCATTTGGCATAAAATATGACAAAATCTGAATCATGAAAGTGGTCCATCAAATGATCAGTTTGAAGCTTGAACGTAGGCTAAGTTTAATATATTGTGACATTGAATAAAAAAACCATAAACTCAGCCGTACGTGTTGGGCACATCTCTGATATATATGTTCATGTTGGACCACCAATATTTTATGTTGTACTACCTCCGGTCCTTAATATAAGAGCTCGTTTAATTTTTATTTTGATCCTAAATATAAGATCCCAATCCACTTTGTCTCTTATATTTATTCATTTTTTTCTCAAGATAGTTCTTATAATAATAGTAGTTCTAGTCAATACACTTGATTAGCAAAGATATTTTAGGAAAGACAACACCTATTTATTACAAATAACTAACTCAACTAATTTTCTTAATCTATTCAAATTAGTCAACTAGCTCTTTATTGAAGAACCAGAGGTGGTAATAACAGATGAATTTAACAAATTAAAGTAACATCAATAGTGTGATTGCATTGAAGGCCATCTATAGAAGTATAGTTCTCTTGACAGTGATATGTTTGTTCATACATATATGGGAGAAACCAACTGATGGTTAGTCAAGGAAGTGTGATGAGAATAACGTTTGGACCAGAAATTAAGTGGTGAATCATGCAGAATAATTGATCTGAAGATAAAGCTCAACAAGAAATTAACGAAGTATGATTAATGCCTTTTTGGTCCAGCCAAGGTAGACGCATCGAACTCTGAAAAATTTTCCCTGCTTTCTGTATGAATACTTATGTATACTTTTATATATGAGTGCATCCATGAGAAAGTAAAGCAAATGGAATCGAAGATCTGTTATCTGGAGAACAAATAAACCATTGCAAATAGATACTCATTTTCTTTATGGAAAAGACCAGTTCATGAAGCAAACATATAAAATACATTTTACTCCCTCCGCCCTTCAATGTAGAAACTAATTGAAGAGTTTTTTTTTTTTTGCTCAATAATTGAAGTTTACCTTGGTTGTAAATATATAAAACCTCTAATCTCTTTTGTTCCTCGTATTATTTTATTCCCCCGCCCCCAAAAATATCAATATTGATTTGCACACGTTTATGCGGAATTAATATAAATAGTTTTCAATGTAAATGATAAAAAAAAAATATTACCTATGTTAAGTTACTTATATCTATCACATGGTCATGTGTCCTCTTTTTAAAATATTAGAATTTAATATCATTTAATTATAAATCCACATGAAACACATAACCATATGTAATTAGAGAATTTGACATAATAGATATAAAGAATTTGATCTAATTTTTTTAGAAAAGTTAATACACATTTATTTTTAAAAAAACTAATTGACTAATTTTGTTAATTTGTGTAAATTAGTTATCTAATTTTTATATTTAGTGTCAATTAAATTTAACAAATATATGAAATAATAAGTGAAATTTAAAATTGTATACAAAAAATTTGTTTCTTATGTTTGGGGTAACCATTATGAGAGAGATTGTTTCTTATAAAAAGGAATGGACAGAGTATGAGCAGATCGGAGTGCGCTTCATATATACATGACAAAAATAAAATTCTAATTCATTTATTTTAATCTGATGATGGCATCCTTTTGCAGTTTTGCCACATCATCCCCAAAACCAATTAAATGAAATATGCGATGATAATCATCCATTAAATTAAAATATCTAGATAAAATTCTTCTAACTAAACCAAACAAATTTCAAATCCTTTAAATTATGTATTACGTGAGTCTTATTTTTAGCAACTATATATTGATAAAATATTTTGGCATATTAAAAACTATCATATCATAACTAGATTGTTATTATAATCAACTTAAACCGAAACATAGATTCATACAAATAGCTGGGATCAAAATGTGTGCTGCTTGCTCAAACATTACTTCCTGGAGATTCTATGAACTTAACTAAAAGCTGCTAATAATCCTTATATTATAATAAAATTCATTTGTATATTAAGTAACAATATACTACCTCTACTTCTTAATATAAGATCTCATTTGATTTTTATTTTGATCTTAAATATAATATTCTAATCTATTTTGTCTATTATATTTATACATTTTTTTTCCAAAATAGTTCTTGTAATAATAGTAGTTCTAATCAATAAACTTGATTAGTAAGGGATTTTAGCAATATCTATTTATTACAAATAACTAACTTAACTTATTTTCTTAATCTACTCAAATTAGGTAACTAGCTCTTATATTTAGAACCAGAGGTAGTACCATATTATTAGAGCTTATGCGGTTAACTCAAATTCACAGTACCACCACTTCAACATATATAACTGTTGATCATCATATTTTAGTCTTATAAGTCATAAAAACAGATAGTTTTGGTTTTTACGTCCCAATCTAATGCAAATTATTTGACCAACAGAAAAATGTGCTTATGATACAACGTAACAACACAACGTTAACAAAAGAGATGTGCAATATTTATTGGCTGGAAGACAATAGACAACTATAATATTATTGAAGTTTAGTTTCCTCAAACACCACAGTAAGCCTTTAAAGCAAATTTCTGTCTCTGGGCCTCTTCAGTGTAGTAGTACTTGAGAAACTCAACGTGATCAAAGGGCTTAAACATAAGAGGGTGCTCTTCATCCACCAGCTCCTCTGGTGCTTTCACCATATACCCTCCTTTTGGAATCGAAAACAACCCTGCTGAGTATCTTGCTTCATTTCCTGTCATCATCACCCTGTGAAATGCCGAATATAACCTCCCATTTGTCCATGCCTGCAACATACTCAAGCTTTGTATTACTAAAACAAACAGATAATTCTTACCAGTTAGTTTTTCTTGTGGTAAACATGAAAATACTCCCTCCCGGGCCATCCGGTCCTTTCTATAAGATTCAAATAATTGAATTGTGTGCGGTTTAAGAAATTTGTTAACATTAGTTAAAAGTAATAAATATGTAAGAAATAGGCTTCTTTTTTTCAGGTCTGTCCTTATTTAGAAGCAGGTAAGTGAGAGAGAAATAATGTGAAAAAAGATGAAAGTGAATACATGAAAACTCCAAACTATATGTTATAAAAAGGACGGCAAGAATTCAAAAATTTGGATGTTATAAGAAAAGATCGGAGGGAGTAAAAGGTAGACCGTACCCTTTCCAATTAGTTGACTATGTTTTTCAGGGTAAGCTTTGTACAATGGACTTACTCGGAAAGAATCGCCAATCATAACGACAAAACTGTGAGGCGAGGAGGGTTGGTAAGTGATCCATTTTCCATCTTTGGTTTCAACTTCTAAACCCACAACTTCATTCTGATACAGTATGGTCACTATGTTCTTATCTGTGTGCGAGGCTATACCCAGCTTGGTGTCTTCAGTTTGAGGAGCACTATATTTCATAACCCTCAGAAGGTAATTGGTTGAGTTCATGTGCTCATCCAAGTACTTCTCAACTCCCAAACTTTCCAGAACCATCTTCCTCACTATCTGATCCAGCTCTGATAGCTCATCTGAGAAGGCTTGTATAGTTTTGCTGCAAAAAATAACAACAAATATAGAGGCAATATAGATGAAACTTGACTAAGGTCCTCAGGAGTTGTCTTAATAAATGTATAATTTCCCATCTGCCAAACATGTCCTATATAAGATGACAAAAACTGAACATATGAATGATAAATTAAACCACATAGATGACACTTTCCAAGGGTTCATTATCGAAGCATATTCATCAAAAAGTACTAGATTATGCTGGAAGAAATGAGAACATGTTATCTAATTTCATCATTGAAAGAACTGATAAAGGAGAAATATAATAAACTAGAAGGGTTTCCTTCGGAATAAAAATGATAGAGTTTCATTGAAAAAGAATAACAAGACAGTTAAAATCTAAATTGGATGATACCTGAAACTTGGGTATCCTTCAGGCCATAAGTTATTTTCCAAACTCTTTACTTTCTCAAGGACATTTGCATCGTCAATGCCCATGCTCTCATAGAGTGGCACATGAGGGTACTGCCCAACATAGCCATGAAAAGGCTTCTTAGACACATTTCGTAGCTTGGCTTGAAGAGGGAGATCAAAGAGCTCTTTGAGCACATCAATTAAGGATTTCCTAATTTCTAGAGGGACCTTATCAAACAAAGCCTCAAAGCAACCACACTCTTCAAGTGCTTTGTGGACTTGGGATTTCACTTCGTCCCACTTAGGATTTTTGCTTTCCAAGTTAAGGCTGTTAAAATCAACGACTGGAAGCTTAAGAATGGTTTCTGAGCCCATTTCTTTTCCTTGGCCTCTCTAGTTTGGTGATGCTTGTACGTGTTCTGATGAGTGATGCGCCTCAATCATGGCGTTTAAATAAAGAAGGTTATGTAAGGATTAAGACAGGACACATAGTAGTATTCTGAGAATCTAATGTTCATTATTCTTATTGTACGGCGTATACTACGATGTTTGCTTAAAGCTATATACGGCATACTTAAAACTATAATGATGGTGGATCAAAATGATTCTTCGGATCGGATTTGTAGTCAGAGAAGACGAAGTTGGCAAGGGAAAATGACACTGAGGTCCCATGCAATACAAAATACTACAAAAAAATCCCAAAAATTTGGTAATGATTCTGAAGTCCCAAAGGGACTTGAGTGCAACTTGGCAAACTGTGAAAAGATGCCTTTGCCCCTGGTGAAATGCACTTATAGTAACTGAAAGTTGCCCTGTCTTTTAGTCTGAAAATTGGCACTCAATACGCAGGAAGCATGAGGAAAAAAAATCCAAACTTCATTCTGTTTCTTCCCCTATTCCCATATGAAAATCTCATCCACTCCACTCATGTCAATCATTGGCAAAAATCGCTTCTGTTTTTTGTTTGGTGTTTGTTTGGTCATTTAAGTTAGAGTTTTATTATAGGTAGGTAGGTTGATTATGTGTGTTCTGTTTCTGGGTATATTGTGGGTGGGTTGTAGGTGGGCTTACTTTGTCTGGGCATGGTTCAAGGAGAATTAATGAGAAAGATAAAGGTTGGTATGGCTAGAAATCCTTGCTGCGAATTGCGAAATAGGAAAATATGTTGTTAATATGGGCCGCAACAGTTGTCAATATAGCTCATTGACTTGTCAATAGTGACAGTGTTGTACATATTTACATCAACTGATTTTTTAAATTTTTTACACAAAGGCCATCACCTTCTGTACCTTTGACTTATTGGTAGAGGTCACAAAAAGAGGAAGAAGAGACAATGAAGAAGGGTGAGCAGTCACATGAGGCAAAAGAAAAAAAAATGGCAAAAAAAAGCCACTTTGAACTTAGACAAATGATGGCAAAAGAATTTTTTCATAAAAAGAAGTGACATGAATTTTTTTTTGTAAATGTCACAATGTACTCAAATAATTAGTTTGATACTGAATATATGCAATTGTATGTTTTTTTTAGTGGGTTATGAAATAGGTGTAATTACATGCATATGAAGTTGTAAATAAAAGTTAGCTATGTATTACATTCTGATGCATAATTAGTTGTCATTATCCACACCCTTCATTGTCAATATATTCTTCGTCACTTGTCACTCGCTGCACTATCAGTTGTCAATTAATGTGCTGATATAAATTTGAAAAAAAATATGATTTTACATTACATAATGCTATACAACGTCATACAATATCACTAATTCCTCAAAACTAATTCATTTTTTTTATAATGTGATATAGAATTGTTATTAAAAGTTGATCATCATTGATATAAAGTCATAAAATCACTTGTTATGAATAATGTATTTACTTGTTAATGGTTTCAGTGTGACTTGTCAATAGTTGCACTATCACTTGTTAATTTATTTGATGATATAAGTTTGGAAAAAATGTAAATTGAAGTTATATAATGTCTATACTGATACATGAGTTTTTTTGGCTAACCTAAGTTACTTTCTTTGTTACGGTTTATAATAAGGACTACTTGAGCCTTACATCTTGAATAATTTTTTATAATGATTCTTGTGGTGTTCATGTCTCCTCGGGGTTATATTGTTTATTTCTCAAAAAAAAAAAGCAAACCAATTCTCAAAATCATATATATCAGCATGAAAATTGCCAAGTTACAGTACCACTATTAATAAGTCAAGATGGGGACATTAACAATTGATACAAGGAACATTAATTCAAATTTACAATTCTATTATATTTCACTTAAAATAGAATTATTATATCATCTTATATCATATTATAATCAAAATGTATTACTGAAATTTATGTTAATTAAATGATATTTTTTCAAAACTTAAGCAGATTTACAATGACTTCATTGACAAATCACAACACCACCATTAACAAGTGAATGCGTTGTTTATGACAAGTGATTTCATAATTTCATATCAATGATAATTGACTTTTAATAACGATTCTATATCACGTTATAAAAATGGATTAGTTTTAAGGAATTAGTGATACTGTATGATGTTGTATAGCATTATGTAACATAAAATCATTTTTTTCAAATTTATATTAGCACATTAATTGACAACTGATAGTGCAGTGAGTGACAAGTGACAAAGAATATATTGACAATAAAGGGTATGGATAATGACAACTAATTATGCATCAGAATGTAATACACATGTAACTTTTATTTACAACTTCATATGCATGTAATTACACTAATTTCATAATCCACTGAAAAAACATACAATTGTATGTATTCAGTGTCAAACTAACTATTTGTGTGTATTGTGACATTTACAAAAAAATTCATGTCACTTCTATTTACAAAAAAATCTTTTGCCATCATTTGTCTAGGTTCAAAGTGACCTTTCTCTTTGCCTTTTTTTTTCTTTTGCCTCATGTGACTGCTCACCCTTTTTCGTTGCCTCTTCTTCATCTTTTTCTAACCTCTACCAATGAGTCAAGAGTACAGAAGGTGATGGCCTTTGTATAAAAAATTTAAAAAAAATCAGTTAATGTAAATCTGCACAACACTATCACTATTGACAAGTCAAGGAGCTATATTGACAACTGTCGCGGCCCATGTTGACAACATATTTTCCTATTTTACAATAAGGGTTTCTAGCCACACCAACCTTCATCTTTCTCATCAATTCCCCTTGAACCATGCCCAGACAGAGCAAGCTCACCTTCAACCCACCCACAATATACCCAGAAACAGAACACACATAATCACCCTACCCACCTATAATAAAACTCCAACTTAAATGACCAAACAAACACCAAACCAAAAGCACAAGCGATTTTTGCCAATGATTGACATGAGTGGAGTGGATGAGATTTTCAGATGGGAATGGGGGAAGAAACAGAATGAAATTTGGGTTTTTTCCTCTTGCTTCCTGCATACTGAGTGCCGATTTTCAGACTAAAAAACATGGCAAATTTCAATTACTGTAAGTGCATTTCACTAGGGGCAGAGACGTTTTTTCACAGTTTACCAAATTGTACTCAAGTCCCTTTGGGACTTTAGAATCATTACCAAATTTTTTAGGACCTTTTTGTAGTATTTTGTGTTGCATATGACCTTAGTGTCATTTTCCCAGTTGGTAAAGGGTCCATTATCGTACAGATCTGCGTAGCCTTGTTATTTGATTCGAAGCTTCATAAACTAATAAAAAAATTAGAGTTTAAATATTAAAGTAAACACTTATTTTCTCCTCCATAATGAAGAAGAAAAGTTTAAATATTGATAAAGAAGACCGAAAATTTATGTTGAGAAAGATATAAATTTTTCAGAGAAGAAATGAGAGGACAATGATAAAATTAATTACTACCTTCGGTCTTATTTATAAGACCTCGTTTATAATTTATAAACGAGGTCTTATAAATAGGACCAGAGGTAGTAGTAATTAACTTCAAATGCTTTCAATTTTGTACGGATTAATAATTCTTTTATAAGTGTATTCTAACTAATATGCTGGGTTAATATTAATAAACTATGATTGTTTTGTATCAGGGATAAAAATGTTCACAACTTCTTAATTGCTCAATATTTTTTTTAAGAAATCTTTTTTGGACAACAGATCCACTTATCGTGATTCCTGACCAAAGTGTTCATGTCATCGTGTGTGTGTGTGTGTACACACGCACAATGTCCTTTTTCGTGTTGTAAGGAACAAAATGAAAATTGCACAGTCAGAATATCCATGTGCGTGGTCCAACACACACACACACACACACATTTCCATCAAGGTCTCATTTTTAAATAATAATCATCTGTCCGGATATTTATTTTGATTATCGTAACATGTATAAGATCATAAGCTGAGTTTCAGTAGGGTCAGGGTTTGTAAATAAACAAATATATATATTAAGATTGATTGATGGAGGACCATTTAGATAAACGAAAACAACATTAAAATAAAGAACTCCACTCAACATAATTCTAGAAATATGTGTGTGTTTATATATATATATATAAAATATTCTAAATCTTATGGGTGTCTATGGCATCATCTATAAGCTGCATCGTGGACCACTGAAAATTAATAAGTTATAGTGCAATGATTCACTGGGTATTGTGGTACTAATATAAAATTCGTCTTGAAAAAAAAAAAAAAGATAACATAATTTTAATGAAGGGTAAGTTTGGTATGAGGGAGAAGGAGGGAATTCTTGTTCATTTTTTGATCGAATGTATAATCATTCAATGGTAATCTAACAATAAAATAGACTGATTGAATGAATTAAATTCGGCGATTTATACATAAACGGATGAAATTTGCAAAGTCAGTTTATTGTGTGTTTTTTTATGGATTTTTTCAAATTTTATAGATGTATTTAAACTAGTCTCCCGTTTTCAAAGTGTCAAGCTATGAAATTTACAATTTATCTAGTACTTTTTTCCTGAAATTAAAGATGTTCTTCAAGCTTGTTTTTGGATGATTAAATTTTTTAAATGAAAAGATATAAAGAAACTTTTTCCTACATATGGAGGCAAGGGTTTTTCCTTTTAACTTTTTTTGTAAAGATATGTTTTTAATTAACAAATTTATTACTTTTACTATTAATCCAAGCGCCATACTGGTGGCTCTACATGGTTATTTGAGGAAATTTTTTAGACAGAAAATTATAAAATAAAAATGGTAATCACATAGGGATATTTAATTTAAATTTAGAATATTTCAATTAAAAGTCGTGACTACCAGGCTTTTAAAAAAAAAAAATCTGTTTTTGTTGCATCTACTATGCATATATTCATTTACAAGTTGACGTTGGACCACAGATTATTAATAATTCTGTAGTACAATAATTTTTTTCTTAAACAATTCCTTAAAAAAGTTATTT